TTCATTTTTTTATATTTTAAATTTGTTTTAAAATATGTTTTAACTAAATCCCAAAGTTTTCTTAGCTTTTGGCGACAGCTGCACACTGTTGCATTTTAGTATTTTCTAATTTTATTTAAACTTTATACAAAGTGTTTTTGTTGCTGTTGTTTTCATATGCTTCAGTGTTTATTATTATTTTGAATTGAATGCTGTTTACTTTTGACGAGAAGAAATTACAGTTAGCAAAAATGTGTGAATTTCCAACGGTTTGTTYTTATTGTTTAAACTGCAGCTTTGCTTGCATGTGTGTGTATGTGTGAGTATACCAAGTCATGTATGTATATATGTATTGCTAYGCCTATTAGTTGGCATACATTGAATTAAACACTAAATGCCACTAACACTGTTGTTGTTTTTGTTGCTGCGGTTGCATTTATTTTCGAAYTTTACTATTTTACATACAATTTTAAATATATTTTTTAAGTCTTATTATTTTTTTTTCTCTTTATAATATTTTGTTTTCTCTTGTATTTGGTTTATTTCCTTTCAATGTTTTCTCTCCATTTTCTCTGTTTATTTTGCTCTTTATTCGACATTCTCATTTACCTTGTTAAACTTAAATTGAATTCCTTTTGATTTCCATCAGCTACACTAGTCAAACTTAACCAAACTTAACTTATACATATGTATATGTATGTATGTAWGTATTTATATGTATAKATGTTCTAGATATATTTGTCTAATGGCTATAAAATGAAGTAATTTACAAACGATTTTGATTACTCTCTTCTATTTCTATTTGATCAGTGAATTTATTCATTTGATTTTCGTTTTTATTTTTTGTTGTTGCTTTTAAAGGGCTAATTTTATTTTTTKAAATTATTTGGAGTACAATGAAATAGAATATATACATATGTATGTGTGTGTGATTTTTTTTCGTCTGTAAACGCGCTTTCTGTACAATTTTTTCATATTTAGCTTTAGAAACTAACATTATTTGTAGTTGTAGTTGTATTTTGGGCGCATTATCGCTATAGCAAATCAAGTGTAAGATTTGTAAATTTAAAAGTAGTTTGGTTAATGCATTTTTGGCAGACACGTGTAAGTACTTGGTGGTCTAGTGAGAACTACAGTTATTCGCTTAAAATCATTTACACACAGAGTGCGGCCGGATCTCAATACGCTAGATGTTATCTCAAGATCAGGCTTGAAATGTTTTCTTCATGAACTATCATAACAAAAGTAAAATTTAAATTTATGGCACAGAGCTTATACAAAAATAACTAAATAATTATTACTTATAATAATAACTAGGTAATTAAGCTTAAACATTACTTGTTAGTAAAACCATATGGAAACAAAAAAATACTTAAAATAATTATATTTTTCTCTCGTATCTAGAAAATATGCAGCGTCTGCTACTTTTGAGTTAAAAAAAATATCTAGATTATACAGTTACTATATGTTTCCTTAATTTTAAAGGAAATGACCTATACAAATGAAAATTATTCATGAAAAGCAATGACCTTACTAAAAATGTTCTTCAAAGCACTCAGACATTTGGTGTAAATTATGGCAGAATCTTTTTTGTTTCTCAATTCCCCTGCTTCGTTGAAATAATATAAAGCTTTAGTAGTCGAAATTTGAATTCGTTATTCGTCTTACCTCAATATCAATCTAACCTCAATACATAAGTGATATTTGAAGAAAAAATTGCCGAAACTACGAGGTGTACCGRTATGAAATGAAAGTTAAGATACAAATTTATAGGTAGAGAACATTTGTTGTGAACGARCCTTAATTTWCTTCTGTTTGGTCAGCTTGACATCTGTCAAACATATTGCATAATCACTTAAAATCATTGAACAAACAACAACAAACTTTTTCATTGTGTTCAGAATGTCTAATGTACCGAAWAGTGATGATTTGCGCCACCAAAAAYGATAAGTCAAAAGCAAATGGCAGCCATGTTAAATGTGGCACTGCAAGCAAACTCAGGCTATTGAAAAACTATGGGTAAGATTCTAAAGTGTGTCAACATCAACTGCAAAGAYAGATCGATTCGGTAAGAAGCCCTTGCTCTGTGTTTAATGAGATTAGAAGGTCTGGTTTATCATGAGCTCATAAGCYGTGCTGAAAATATTAATACCAATCGCTGCAGACAACAAATGATCAAAACCACGAACCATSCATTGATCGGAAAAGGCCCAGAATGCGCCAAAAGACACGGCAACGTAGATTTGTTACACKAAAAATGCACCTGAACAAAAGATAAATCGGTTCAGAATACAATCAACATACTTGGCTGGAAGTTGTCTRATTGATTTGCATCAAAGACGAACATGGTATCCACAAATTACTAGAAAGGTGGCCAAAATGTGTACAAAGCAATGGTGAATGCTTTGAATAATTTTTTACTTTCCACTTGAAAATAWGTATTCCATTTTCGCAACAAAACGCTCATTTCATGCCCGTACACTTTGTGCACTGCCACTTAATTGCTAATGAAAATTATTTATTAAAATAGCTAATAATATTTTGCTGAATGTCATAAAAATTAGTATTATTTGTACTGCAAGACTTTTAAAAGGGCTCTACCTAATTTTTATCCCAACAGGCATCAAAAGTTACTATCAAAAATACCCAGAAAGTGTAGGGATATATATTTTGAATATTAAACCATGACCTACCGTAGTTATTAGTCCTAAGCACTATTAAATTCAAACATCTTACTTGCTTACTAACCTATACGCCTACCTGATCATGTATAAAACTCATAAGATTATTTTTAAAAGAAAAATTATTGAATTTCAAAATTTGTTATAAATATCCGCCATTATAGCAGCTTATTGGCCAGAAGTCGAAGATAAAAGTTTAATAGTTTTAGAATTGCTGCAAAACTTATGGGTCTCTTGTACAGAATCATTCATATTACATATGAAAATATGATATTTCGTAATACAACACACAGTGTCTTGATTTCGTGGGCAAATGGGCCTACTAAGCTGAAGGCGTAATACCATTTATGTGTAAATTAACTAATTGAACATATAGAGTAGACAAAGGAAAGCTTTCCATCATGGCTCCTACTCAAATATGGTATACCAAAGTTTATAGCCCTTTTCYACAGGAATTAATTGTTCCATTGACTGGCCTTTGCTTGATTAAAGCGCTAAAATCGATTTACCATACAAAATAAAAAACTTGATTTTACAACATTAAATTTTCATTGAATTCAAATCGCGTTAAAACCGGAATACAACTTGCGGGTTTGTTGTCCATATTATATATTTAACTGGACTTAACTCTTCGGCTTTATGTCTAGGCTGTAAATTTCGCTGTGTGCATTGTTAAAWTAGCAATCAGCTGATGAATTGTASTCATTAGATAAAATACAAAAYGAGAAYAYAAGCAAGTGTGACAGGTGACTTGTTCCTTCATTTTAAGTTTACTGTACTAAATTAATTTGACTGTGCGAAATGCAATATTAATGGCATTAAGTTTCTTATCATAACCTCAATATAAAAAAAAATCTCTTCTAAATGTACCCCACAGTTCAATAGTATTGAGTGTGAGCTGGATATGTACCAATTGGTATGTCCAAATTCTTCTCTTGAATATTTTGCGCCTTTCTTCATGCATTTGAAAAAATCTTAAAAGTTAATTTGACTTTCTATTTGAATTTCCACAAACTTCGTTAGAAATTCAAACGATATTTTCTTTCCTTAATAACTCGATTAATAGCCAGCAKGCCGCACTCTGTTGCCAATTGCCTGTTGTTGTGTTATGTAATTATCAAAAACCTAAAACCTAAATATACCCAGAATGTGTGTATGGCTGTGTGATGCTCATAGATTATTTATCTTTTCTTAAATTCATTAGCAACATAATCCCGAAAATCATTATCGTTAAAACAACTTAAGCCATAACCAAACCTAAGCTGCGCACATAGTTACGAAAAATTTGTTTTGAGCGAGTGTCCAACCTCAGAAACCGAATATGAAATTTGCAAAGAGAGCTACTGTCATATTTTGCTCTTTTCAAATTACTCTGTTTCCGAATTTTTAGCTTGCTTTAATTTCGATTTTTTTTTTTTTTTTGAGCGATAATGACTTCTAGAATTACTTGTTTTCTTTGTGTAATCCTATGCTAAATACATATTTACAAATTTTATAGACACTATTTTTAAATTTTTGCTTTAATTTTTGATTCTTTGTAATACTCTCAACTTATGCTAACTATGCTCTCTTAAKTGGACTAAAACTTAAATTTATTTTAACTATAATAATTTTACGCTAAATTTGTTTTATAAAAAAATTCGAGCTGCAATCTGAGAACATACCAAACTGAAATTCCTTAAAATGCATTGTTTCACATTGTTTTTGTTGTTGCTGTTGAGTTTTTAACTTCTCTGCGGCGGCGAGTTGCTTACTTTAGCATTGGRTCCATCGTCGTGAATTCCATTTCACCGCGTGGCAAAATCAAGTCGGGGTCTGTAATGTAGACTGGCGTTGCAATAAAAGAAAACACACCACAGTTGCAAATATTTGAGTTTTTTGTAGTTGAGTGTGGTCATAGGTTGCAAGTGTGTGGTATGGGAAGAGGAGTACGGTGTATTTATAGGGTTTAGAAAATTAAATTGTGCGTGTATGGTGGTGTGGCGCAGAGGTAGAGTAGAACAAAGCGAAAGCACAAAATAAAGTGAGTGGAGAAAAGAGTTGAGTTATTAGTATTTTAAATACACATAAGTATGTTTATTTTTATATACAAAATCGGTGGTGCAGTTGGTTTAGTGTGTGTAATATTTATGGTAAGCCAAGGAAGCCAACTTATTTTGATATGGCAATGACGCACTTAAAATTWAAATTCAAATACGTTTTATAGCTAATAATTATAGCAAAATATTTGTTCCATAAACGTTTTAAAGAAAATAATTATTGCATAAAAATTATTCGACAACTTTTCCATAGCAAATTTTTATAGCAAATTCCATCAAGTTTCTATAGCAAATTATTATAGCAAAACGTTCACTTTTTACAGATTTATAGTTAATAATTATTGAAAAATATTTACTCCACAAAGGTTTTATAGCAAAGGATTTATTCAGTCATATTTTTATAGCCAAATACTTATATCATAATTTTTAAAGCAAATTATTCACGTAAAACATTTATTCGACGATATTTTTATGGCCAAATTATAGCAAAACATGTGCTTTATAATGTTTTATAGTTATAGTACTCATGCCATAATATATTTATGGCTAAATATTTAATTCCAAAAYTATTATTGCTTTATGGAATTCTTAATAATAGCAATGTTTTTATAGCAAATAATTATAGAACATTTTTTCTGTCTTAAAATTTTCAAACTAAATTATAGCAAATTATTTATCCTACATATTTTTTAGCGTTGTTAGTTGTGAGCAGTATTGTACTATCGTTTCCCACTTTTATCGCAAATTACATGATAAACTTCCGAACTAAGTGTAAGACGTCACGTGATCGCCTYTTAAAAATTAATTTTCTATTATTGCATATCTAATATATCAAAACAAATTGGCTTCTTCAAATATAAGTAATAAAGTAATTAGCAGCATGTTTCTGAGCTCTTAACAAATGTCAGACRTTTACAACTAAAAGCAGACAACACATAAAAAGCGTTGGCAAATGAGAAATAAAAATGCATATTAAAAAGCAAAAAAGCCAAAAAGAAAATGTGCAAAATTGCGCAGTGCCATTGGAAGCCATTTCAAAGGCATGCCGAAGTAATTAAAGCGAAAGGTGCTAAAGCTGCGAGAAATCACTGAAAAACACGCAAAAGCGCCGCTTGGCGAAAATCACTRCTAAGCGCCGGCATGCGATCTGCCAAGTGCCGCCTTGACCCTTGGGCCCATAAGAGTACACGAGAACACTCACAAACCAAAACACATACATGAGCATGCATTCATGTATATATGCTTGTGTGTGTGTGTGTGTGTGTGTGTAATATGACATGCGAGTTTTTATTATTTTATTTTCACTCGACGTCGCCATTATGTTTTGAGTTTATTTCATTTTTATATCGTTTTATTATGTGCGGCGCTATTGCTTTAGATTTGCTTACACTTCGCTTTTACTTCTACGRGACTGTCAGCGCCAACTCTCCGACGCGGCACTTACTCATACTCGCAACATTTTTATGCGACGCAACAAGCGTGCAACGTGTGGCAACACACTTTTACTCGTATGAGACACCATGTTTAGGTGTGTATGTGTGTTTTACTGCTGTGGGCACTCGCACGCTGGCAGGCGCTCGCATTCGGCTTTACGCCGTTAACTTTCAGCTTTTATATAGCTCTGTTATTTCTGTACATTTTATTGTTATTGCACTTTATATGAGAGTGCGTCGCAGTTGTGTTGCTTGCTATATCGCGTCTTATGGTCATAAAGATACACACACATATACATGTATGCGTGCACATGCACACACACACAGAGTGCTCCCTTAGTGAATGCCATGCGGTTTGCCATCACGCTGATAGCATGTCGAATATTGATGTTGTTATAGTTGTTGCCGCAGTTGAGTGTGTCAAACCGCGTTGATAGAAGTGTTGCATAAATGCACCAAAAAAAAAAAAGGAATCTCACAAAAGCGAAATAAAGAGAAAGTAAACCACACTTGCCATAATACAGTGCTCATGCAGCCACATATAAATAAGTATGTTTGTATGTATAGTATTCATGCGAAATCGTAACGCACGAAGCATCAGCCACAACCAAATCACCGACTTCATCATTTCGATTACTTTCAGTTCGTGCAAGTAAACCTGCTTGTAAAGGCGGAAATTACGCATTGCGCACACGCACAATCATACCTCAATACACATGCATACATGCACTTACATATACATGCAGCGGCGACATGAAAAGAATCTGCCGCAGAAGCTGATTTCGATTCGGCCACCTCGAAGGGAAGGCGAAGCTTTAACTGCATTTTGGTGCTTTACGTGCTGCTGCTTGGGGCAGCAAAAAATCATTTCACCTTTCAACTTAATAACTGAAGGCATTAGAATATAAGTATGAAGTAACCACGTGTGGAATGGAAGTCGAATCAGCACACGGACCAAATAATTTTAGATTTTGTGTTTTTGCTCAAACATTTTGGTATCGATGAAGTGGCAAAGAAATGACTAAAAAAATAGGAAATTGATTTTTTTTTTTGTTTAGTGGAAAGTGAGRAGAAATTCTAAACAAATTTTCAGCAGCATGAATGTAAAACTATTAAAATAGTTCTGAATTTATAGTGATGGAGAAAGGGAAAAGGGGAGAAAAAGAGAGATAGAAAAGTATATTCGACTTTGTATACTATATTTAAGGTTTAAAAATACCCAATTCAAGAGATCTACCTTAATTTATATATTTGATACACCTTTCAGTTTGATGTGGAACTTGGAGGTTTGCTTGCTGTGTGACTATGTGAATACAGTGTCGACGTGGAGAAATAGGCTTGGTTATTAARACTAAGTTCTCTACTTGGTAATTTCAGAATAAAATTTATTGTAAAAATGATTTTTTATAAATAATTTTTTTCTTTTTGTATAATTAATGTATTATAAAGGATAAAATTATAAGCAGTGCAAATTATTATATTTCTAAATAGAAGGAAGAGAAATTGTTCAATCAGCTTAGCTTAGAATATTCTCCTCAACTGAGTTTTAAACTGCTGAAAACTGCTTCTGAAGAACTTAGCATAAATTGGTAAGGGGGAGTGAAACATAAAATGGTCATAAAAAAATCGAGAATACATTTAAATATCTTTCGCACATGATCTCTGACGGGCATAAAAAAAGTTTCTGCACATTATTCAAGAATCAAACCTAAAAAAGTCTGCTCTAGAAAACACTGTGCGTAGCAAGACTTACGGTCGAAGAAAAGTTAAGGATTGAAAGTATGACGGCATTTTTTCAATATTTGAAATTCATCAAAATTTTTGATCAAATTTGAAATTATAGTCTTGAGAAAAATTGCTTTTGAAGATAAACGAATGATTTTGGTTGTACTAAATGGCTTCTCTTAAGGAGGCTACAACTTAAAACCTATATGAGTTATTGAAAAAATATATTACTTTTAATGTCACAACAAATGATGTAAAGACAAATATGTTATCAAACAGTAGTAAAAAATGTGACTGAAAACCTTAACATTTGTTATCAAAAAGAAAAACGAAAATAGCACTTAGCACTCAAGACATTGTGGAAGACTATTTAGGGATAAACATTGTATGAAAGTTTTTTTTTTAATGTTTTTAGGCAATACTTTTTTCCACTCAAGGCGAGTTCAACTTGATTTCATAACATTTATAGCGGTTTGAAATTCCCTAAAATATAAACCAAGTGCTAATAATGCCTTAAAAATATTTTAGGGACATTCTCGACTACAAACGCGACATTAATAATTTGCGTAATGTTGTAAAAATCAGATTTGCTTTAAAACTGAGCTCAATTATCTAAAACTAAGCCACAATCAATATCAATAAATTCTCAAATACTGTCTGTCTATATTTTTCAAAMAAATTAGTTTAATAAATATAATTAAATTCGTAACTTATAACACAAAGTAGTTTGCCCTTCTCAATTTTTAACAGAAAAAACGCTTACTTTCAATGCGAAAATAACTGCAAAGCGACGCGATAGTTGCGTAACATAATACGTTCGCCGTTATGTTGTAACACCTTTTGTAAGTGGCAAAGGGCATTGCTCTAATGAGCTGCGCGTTAATAGTGAGTGCTGCGCTCAAAGGCCCGAGAAAATTATGGCATTTGACACGCAGCAAAGATAAGCGTATTTTATTACAAAGCAAAGCAAAAATTACACAAAAATAAAAACAAGATTACAAAATATATATGCAAAGGCATAATCTAAAGTCACATTGTGCAACTAGAGTGCTTTKCTCAGGCTTACATTGCAGTCGACGCTTCAGTTGACAAGCGAGTTTGAGTAAAGGTGTAATTTTTTCTCAATTAATTTGACTTGATTGACGCAGCAAAGGAATTTTTTAAACAAACAAGGGATAAACGTATGATGAGRAGAAATAGTGGAGTTGAGWAAGCAATCTGTTGCCTSTTAATGACGCACGCAAAACCACATWTACACACACACTTATGTTTCATACACACCGACGTTGCGTATACGCCCTGGCTGTCATGTGTTGCATTACATGTTTTGATGCAGATACACCTTCATATAGTATGTGCATATGTGTTTCAGCATATAAAATGCCCAATCACTTTTCAAATTGGCCGCAGCCACCCAGCTGCTCACAGTTATTTGCGTATTTAATGCCAATATTTACACTTGCGGGCAGCCTAATTGGCCGCCCATCTATTACCGGCCCAAATGCCCACCTCTCTGAACGCACTTCAGTCCGCATGCAAATAATACCTATGCGTAGTTTTAGTTTCTATGCACAAGAAATACTAAAAGTACTATAAATTGAAAAATTTTAACAGTGAA